GCGCCTCGCCTTGGCCCCCCGGGGACACCCTTGCCCACGCTGGGCCCCGCCGGTCCACGGGCGGCTTGCTCACCAGGTCGGGCTGCGAGCACAGGCGCATCTGGCACAGGTGGATGGTGAAGATGGCGTGGGAGCGGGAGCTCTGCACGTTCATCTGGGTGCTGGCCGTGGTGCGCGACAGTGCCCCCTGCTTCAGGCTCTGGATCAGCTGCGGGGGCGGGAGGGGTGAGGGAGCCCGACTCTGCCAGCGCCGCCCTCCCAGCGATGCCCTCTGCCTGCCCGGGGCTGCTCACCTCCTCCTGTGTGCTGATGAGGCGGGAGGTGACACCTGTGGTGTAGATGCCGCCGTTGGCATCCTCGTGGATCTTGATGTTGGACCTGCGGTGGCGGGCATCCGGGTCTCGAGTGCTGTCAAACAGGTCCAGGATCTCTTCGTTGTAGAGCTGCACCGGGGCAGAAGTGGCTGCTGCGTTTCTGCGCATGTGCGCCAGGGACAGCCCGGCGCAGGGTGCTAATGACCGCTTGGATTTTGCAGTCGCAGGTGCCCTCGGCTTTTCTCATCGACTGATTTATTTTCTTTGGTCAACACTGTATTCTTGACAAAACGTGTCGCCTGTTATACATTGTTTGACCAGCCCCCGGTGGCATAGTGGATTATGAAAGTTCACCAGCTGCGTGGACGGAGAAAGATGGGCCTATCTGCTCCCATCAAGAGTTACGGCCTCAGAAAACCAGGGCAGGAAGTTCTCCCCTGTCCGACAGGGTTGCTATGAGGCGGATTCCACTCGACGGCAGGCGGTGTGGGTGTTTAGGGTACCTTGTTTTTGCACTCCGTTCTCTTTTCACATAACATCATCACTTGGAGATAACCCCATAAACACTGTCATTAGTTGCCATCAAGTCGACTCTGGCCCCTAGCAACCCCGCGTGCAGAGGACAGGCTCTGGAGACCTGTCTCCCGAAGCACCTCTGGGTGGATGTGACCCATGAGCCTTTCAGTTAGTGGTCAGGTGTTTAGTTAACCATTTGTGCCACCCATGACCTCCAATTCCATACATTGTGCCCATAAGAATAACATTATAATGTATTCACACATTGCTGCAGTCGCCTCCTCCTTAATGGCAACACAAGCAGCTTGGCTATAAGCAGAGCTAGCCTGAGCCTGAGCCTGAGCCTGAGTGAGACTGCACCTGAGCCCGGCTCCTCTGCCCCACGGAGCCAGCCCCTGTGCAAGGGACGAGACCCTGAGGGACCAGGAGAGTGGAGTCCCAGATGGAGATGAGGAAGGTGTGCCCATGACTTGGGCAGGTCTTGTTATCTTTAGCTTATCAGGTTGAGACAGAGGGATGGGGGACTGGTTCCGGATGCAGGAGATAAAGGCAGAGCTTAGTGGGGACCATGGAACATGTTCTGGTCAGACAAGTCCCTGGGGTCGCAGGTAAGACAACCTCCCAAATCAGTGACCCTGGTTCTGTGCTCAGAAGGGAGGCGGCCATGGACAGCAGACTACTATGGGCCCACCTCCGGGGAAAAGCCTGGTGAGACCATTTATGGGGAGGTGGCCTGGCCAGGGGCAGTCACCCCGCTTCAGATGATCCCCGCTTTGGAAGCCGCTGGCCAGGGCTGGTTCACCTGTGGAGGAGGGTGGGCTGATCACCAGTCAGGACCTGGAGCTGGACAGGGGGGCAGCAACCAGCAGAATCCTGGGGCAGGGGCAGGGGAGGGAAGGGGGAGTACTATAGCCCACGGACATCCCTGGCTTTGATGACCTTAAAGGGACAGAAACATCCCACAGTAAGGGGAAGAGAGGAAAAGGAAGAGGCTGAGGCCGACATAACTGTCAAAGTGTCTGTCTGTCTGTATGAGACAGACACGCTGCATCATTTAACCCTTCCTGGTTTGCCTTTTGCATGGATGGTCTCTGAGCTAGGTTGCTCATGGGGGGTGTCTGTGGCTGCAGTGCGGAGAAGGGAAGCAAACAGAGAAATGGGAAAAGTTGAAAAGCAGTCACACACACACACACACACACACACACAGCAAGTTTGTTAAAAAAGCAAAGTCCAGAAGGACAAAGGAAACCTCTCAAAGTATGGCCAGGAGACCATACTTATGTGGCCATGGGATGGAGGGGGGGCCAGGATGGCTTGGGAAGAACTGAGACCACACCCCTCCCTCAGAGAGAGGCCAGGGACAACCTGGGCACCTTCAGTACAGCAGGTATAGGGACTGACAGTCTAGCGTGACTCCAGACCCAGAAGATGGCCAGGACTGGAGTCTTTGGGTCAGGTCTCTAGATGCTGAGACGCAGAGGAGAAACCTGGTCAAGGCAGGGTCTCCAGGGAAACATTCTAGGCCCACCTGCCTTCCAAGAAGCCCCTCTGAGAGGGGTCCTTTGTAAGAAGGAGCTCCTATTCCTGGGCTTACTGAACTGAGGCTCAGCACAGCCCCCAAATCAAAGATTCCCCTCTTCTACCCCGAAAGGCTCTGGCGGCCATGACTCCAGCCTTGGCAGGCGGCATCCTTGCAGAGAAGGCAGAGTGGCTGCAGAGAAAGGCACATTTGGGGGACCTGCTGCCTGGGGCCCGGAGTCACAGAGGGCCAGGGAGTATCTCAGGCAGAAAGGGCAGGGGCAGCTCTGAGGTGGAGCGGGGACTTGGCAAAGGCCAGGGGAAGGACAAGAACCAGACTTCTCCCTGTGCACCATCCAGGTGAGCCTCACGAAACCCCAAAAGAAGCAGATAATACCACCTCTGGGTTGAAATGAAGCTGCCGATGCTGAGTGGTGGACCTGACTTGCCAAGGCCACCCAGCTAAAAAGCGCCAGAGCTGAGATTCTCAAGTTCAGTAGGGTTTGAAGATCTCATAGAGGTCAATGACTCAAGTTCCCCTGCAAGCAGGATAACCCTTTCCCGTGACCCACCATGCAGTCCTCCCACCCTGGTTTGCATACTCCCAACAGTGGGGAACTCATCACCTCTATAGGAGAGGGGCCAGGCCAGTCCCCACCCAGGATGGAGCTGAGAACCTCCACAGGCCATTCTGTTCCCGCCTGAAGTCCCTGAGGTCCACTCCGAGAGGCAGGCCCCAGTTTCTGTGGTCTTGTGGGCCCCACGTCGCCCTCCCACCCGCCCCACAAGGCCAGGCTACCTCCAGGAACTGAGCGCTGACTTTGAACTCAGGCCCAGTCAGGCCCTGCTCCTGTGCCCGCTGCTTGCGCTCGGCGATGCCCGCAAAGAGGTGGGCAATGGCCCTCGGAATGATGCCTTGCTCATCCTCGGACGTCGACATGTCGAAGCCAGTGCCCATGGTGTATGTCTTCCCGGCCCCCGTCTGTGTGGGCAAGAAGCAAGGAGGGTGGTACCTATACACACACACACCTGGGTGTCCCAGTGAGCCCTGGACTGGGGTGAAATCCCCTCACCCGTCTATCTACTGTACAGTGGGGTTCCCACCCAGGCCTGGCTGGGAACTTTCCAGCCTGGGAAGTCTTCTATGGCCGATCACCTGCCCCTCCAGGGGAGCAGCCAGCAGCACTGCACTTGAGGGGTGGGGGCAGACTGGGCTGGAGTAGCTAGTGGCAGGCGAGGGTCCTTACCTGCCCATAGGCCAGCACTGTGGCATTGTAGCCCTCGAAGCAGCCCTCGATGAGCTTGTTCACACAGGTCGAATAGATTTGTTCCTGCCAGGTATCCAAGTCGAAGACAAAGTCGTAGGTGAAGGCCTTGTCCTTCCCCAGCAGGACCTGGGGCTCCCCCGGGGTGACGGAGGTACAGATGTGACAGCCCTCAATCTTCTCCTTCGAAAGCTGGGGCCGAATCCTGCCAGGGACAGGGAGAGCCCTGGGTCAGGTCCCCTGGGCCAGGGTGGTGGGGTGCTGTGGCCCCCTTCCCCCGCACTGCCTGCCAAGCTTCCACTTCCTCCAACAAGTCCCCCAACAAGCTAAAGGAGGAGACCTCCAGAAGACCAGGTTCAGAAGACCGGGTTCAGAAGTATAAAAGTAATAATTTAAATATATATATATATTTAAACATTTTATTAAGGGTTCTTACAGTTCATGTCACAATCTGTAAAACAATTGTATTGAGCACATTTGTACATATATTGTCATCATTATTTTCTAGACATTTATTTTCTATTGAGCCCTTGATATCTTCCACCCCCTCCCTCACCACCCCCACTCTTATGGCCCCTTGATAAATGATAAATAATTATTGTTTTCAGGAATAATAATACTAACCCCATCCACCCCCACAAAATAAGAATGGTGAACATTTATTTAGCACCCAGTGTGGTTACTGGTTACGCATTGCAAAACCAGCAGTTCAAAACCACCAGCAGCTCCACGGGAGAGAGATGGGGCTGTCTACTCTGGTAAAGAGTTGTAGTCTCTCTCGGAAACTCGCGAGCAGCTTTGCCCTGCCCTGGAGGGTGGCTCTGAGTCAGCATCAGCTGGTTGGCAGGGAGCGTTGTGGTGTTTGGTTTTTGGTAGACCATCTCTGTGTCTAAGGGGCTTCCATGACCTCATCCATGTAGTCTTCACTACACACCAGAGGTTTTTCACCAGGTCTTTCAGAGGAAGAAACCCTGGCTGGAGGTGTTTCCCTGACTCTACCACAAGGTTTTATCACAGAAATCAGCAGAGCTGGGATCGCACCGGGAGCCCCAGAAACGATTGCCTGCTTCTGGGGAGACAACATTCCATTCTGGGTGGGAAGGACGGGACTGCCCAGGCCACATGCCCCTCAGGACAGGGCTCAGGGAGAGGCTCTGCCAAAGACGGAGGGGAGGGGCTGCCACGGCCCTCCAACCCTGGAGCTTCATCCCTGAGGCCGGCAGCTCGCTGACATCCTCAGGCACGAGCTCTGGGCTCGCTCCAGGACCTGCAGGGACTCGGTCAAGCAGATCAGGAAAAGTTGGAAGGGTCCTGCAAAGGGCTGGACCCAGGCCAGCCGCACACCAACCCCACGGATAAGAAGACAGTGGTATCAGGGCTGAGTGAGGAGGCAGCCACGGACAGAGCAGTCTCCATCCAGTCACCCTCCCTCCTCTCCAAAGTAGCCATCACCATGGTGAGCTCCCCATGGCAACCAAGCATGAGTCAGTGAGTGCATGTTTGTAGGGATTGGCAGAAAGCACCCCTGGAACCTAAACGAAAGGGGGTGGGATGTCTGACTCTAATGCCCAGTGCCTATATCAGCCAGCCCTGCCCACTGGGCACTCACAATGGGCTTCTTGTCAGGCTCCCTCCCCCTACACCAACATTTATCAAGAGAACAGAGGGGCCAGGCCAGCGCCCATTCAGGACCAAGAGGCACCTAGCCACACAGCCGGGGGAGGGGGGCACACAGTTGCCATCCTGTCCCTGCCCTAGGCCTCCCAGGGTCCAAAGTTCATGCAGAGTTGCAGGCTGGACGAGGTGCTCACCTGAGTCTTGTGTCTGTGCTCAGAGCTCAGGGCTCTCCCTTCCTGCCCCTCAAGGGCAGCTAAGCACGCCTAGGCCACACCCTGGAAGTTATGGATGGACGTTTGGACTTCCCTCAGAGGTGCTTCCCCTTGGGGGTGAACCAGGCTTCACACCTCAGCAGCCCTCCCCTCAGTGAGCAGACAGGAAAGGAACCCAGGAGGTCGCCACTGCTATCTAAGCATTAGGCCAAGTTGAAAGGAGAATCCAGCATCTCAGTCTCCCACCTGAATGGGTTTCTGACTGAGCAGAGCAGCATCTAAGCACTTGCTTATACAGAAACGCTTTGGCCTTCAAGGCACCCTGGTCAGGAATATTGCTCCTACTGGGTATTGGAAGAAACGGAGAGCCTGGTACTCAATGAGCCCCAGAGACAACCAGTGACAGAGCTTACGTCTGAACCAAGGCAGGCTGCGTGTGCTGTCTCTTCAGTGCGCTTACATGACGTGGTCACTAAGGGACGGGGAAGGTGCCCTGGTGGCGTGGGTTACAATGGGGCTGCTAACCACAAGATCAGCAATTTGAATCCACAGCCCCTCTGCTCCCACAAAGAGTTACAGTCTCAAAAGCCCACAGGGGCAGTTCTCCCCTGTCCTGTACAGTCACTATGAGTCAGAATTGACTGGATGGCAGCAAGTGACGGCACAGGGTTCAGAGTGTCACCTGGGAAGGAATGCCCCCCTCATTCATAGGGGAAGGTGGAGCAGTCAGCAGTCTCGGAGGAAGGTGGCATGGGCATCAGATAGGACTTTGGTGCTCCGGCCCACTGTCCTGGTGCTGGCCTGTGGCACCCAGGAGCAAACACTTCCTGCTCAGGCCTCCAGGGCTGCCAGGTGAACGAAAGATCTGGCCTAGGCAGGCTTAGGGCCCTCCGGCGCTATTGGCAATTCCCCAGCTCCTGAAGATAGATGTCTTCCTACCACGTGGCCACTTGCAATAGTATTTCTGGATTCAATTCAAATACCATTTAATTACCCCAGGCAGATGGCAATGCTGGTGATTGGAAGAAATCGAATCAACATCCCTGGAGACAAGGTCAGAGTGTGTGTGTGTGGGGGTGGGGGGGGTGGGGGAGCAGTCCTGCCTCTGAGAGCCCTTCAGTGGAGGGGTAGCTTCTCCTTCAGCAAGTAGCCCCACACCACCTGAGGAGTACCCCTGCCAGGAAGGAGATGGTGGGCAAAAGAACAGGACTGTGAAGGAGGGTCCCCAGCCATTTAGGGTCCACAAGTTCTGGGGCAGGAGGACATTTACCCTTGGGCCCCTCTGTCAGGCCAGTACATCCTAAGATGGGGTCCTTTGTGGTCAGACATGCTGACCCATCCTTAACATCAGGATATGTTGTCAGGGTGAAGGTGAGCAGGCAGGGTCATCTGGAGAAAAGGGTCCTGCATGAGTCACCAGCTTCCAACCCAAATGACCTGGAAGAAGGAGCGTGCTCCTTCCACCCACAGGACTACTGCAGAGCTGGAGTTAGAAGCAGAAGGAATGAAGATTTCTCAGATGACAGAAAACAACAGAGCCAGGTTGGACCAGAGCTGGCACTGGGCCAGGCACAGTCACAGATTTCTTCCCCAGCGGCACTGTCAGGTAAGCAAGGTTGTCCGTTCAAACCCATCAGCTGCTCTGAGGCAGAAGGTGGAGGCTCTGGGCTCCCATAAACATGTTCAGCTTTGGAAACTCCACACAGCATTGTTGTGAATCAGGATGGCCTCAGTGACAGGGGTGTGGGTTTGGATTTGGATGAGCTTTGGGATGGCTGGGGTAGAAGTCTCACTTCCATGCAAGAGACTCGGGTTCAATTCCTTGCCAATGCACTTCATGCACACCCGCCATCTAAGAGTGGAAACTGTGCTTTGCTGCGATGCAGAACAAGTTCAGTGGAATTTCAAGACGAAGGTGAAGTATGAAGAAAAGCCTGGTGATCAATTTCTAAAAAAAAAATCAGTTTCAGGATCACAGAGCCCTGGTGGTGTAGTGGGTGATGTGTTGGGCAGCTTAACACAAGGCCAGCAGTTCAAACCTCCCTGTTCTAAGGAGAAAGAGGCATTCTACGCTGGTAAAACCTTACAGCCTGAGAAACCCACGGGGCCAGTTCTACCCTGTCCTATAGCGTTGCTATGACTCAGAATCAACTTGATGGGAGGGAGCAAGCTTGGCTTTGAGTATTTGGATGGCTCACCGTGGTTTTGCAGCCAGCTCCACAGCAGCTCCACCACCACCACAATGAGCTAGGCATTTGAATCCCCATTATCTACAGCGGACCATGGAAGCTTGCGTGGTTAAGCCAGCCTCATAGTAAAGGCAGTGCCACTGACAGGTAAGTTGAACAATTCCTGCTCTGAGTGACTTGTTCTTCCAGCTCTGCAGCTGCCAGCAAATTCCCAATCCCTAACCCACTAAGAAAACTTCCTCTCACAGCACTATCAGCAAAGCTGGGAAGGCCCTTTCATAAGGATTCCCACCCGTCTGATTGCGCATGTGCCGCAGGGGGATCTGCTGCCCGCGCTGCAGTGAGCGGAAGATCCGGCTCTCGGTCCGGTAGGGGGCGACACTATGCCATCCTGGTGTTCCCTCCCCCCACACTCGATCGGCCCTGGGTTGACGTCGAACCCACATCCCCAGCTAAGAGCGGCTTCCTCCTGACTATCGAGGTGATCTCGCACGTCTCTCGGGTTTTAACTTTCTAAGAACTCTGTCATCTCCTCTCCCCTCCCTCCTTCGCGCAGTGTGGTCACTTCAGCCAGCCCCGCCCCCAAAGTGGCGCTCAGCAAGCCCTGCCCCATCCCAGATAAGGCGAGAGGGCAGCTTCCCGTTAGAGCAGCAGGCGGGGCGGCCGGGATAGGACCACCCACAGCCCCGCCCCTCCCTCAGGACCCAAACCAACCCCCGGGGCAGCGAGTTTACAGCCGAGTAGAACTGCCCCGGTGGCGGGAGCGGAGAAGTTCATCCTCATCGTGATGCTCGGCTGGTGGTTTCTAATCGCAGGTCTCGCAGTTGGCAGCCTAACTTGTGACCCACTACACTGCCAGGGCCCAAGAATGGGTCCGCCATGTCTCCCAGTCTGTAGTTTCTGGGGTCTCCCAACTCCTGGGCTGCTCAGAGCACTGCAAGCCAGCCAGGTCCTGGCGCGCGGGGGAGGGGCGGGGACGCAAACCACAAAATGGGTACTCCCCCCAAAAAAACTCAGCAATCGACATACAGTTTAGCCTTCGATGTAATCATTTTTAAAAGCCATATATGCAAACAAACGGGCCTGCAGGCCGGCCACCCGTTTTTTTGCACACTAAGTTTCGGGGTTCTTGGGGGTGCATCACCGCCCGGCGCTTTTGTAAATACCAGGCACCTCCCCTCCGATCG